CATGGTGATCACAATGGTGATGGCCTTCCTCATCTGCTGGCTGCCCTACGCCACATTTGCCCTGGTGGTGGCCACCAACAAAGACATTGCCATCCAGCCAGCTCTCGCATCCCTGCCCTCCTACTTCTCCAAGACCGCCACGGTTTACAATCCAGTCATCTACGTCTTCATGAACAAACAGGTGAGAGAGAAAGCCATTAGCCAGCGAAACCACAGCTTCACTGGGGCTTCTGGAGAATGACTTAATGGCTTTGTAAAATGTGGAGGAAACACCTATCCTATCTGGAAGCGCACACACAGGCTCAACCGGGAGTCGCTGTATAAGCAGCAAGGTTTTGGGGAATAAATTGGAAAGGGAGGGAGCACCCTCTGAGCCTGAACAAGAGTTATTTTCTGCTTCTACGGTTTTATGAGGTCAGGCAACTTAATTTTAGATCAAACTGCTCATTGAACACACAAAGCAAACAGAATGAAACTTTTATTGTCAATAAACTGCCAGGGTCTGCAAAGAGTTGGGCTGGGAATTGATACAGATCTCACCCAAATTACAAGGGCCCACCCCTCAGCCTCTGCCTCCACGTCTCAAGGCGGACGCCAGCTTTCTGCCACCGCACGTAACCTGTCCCTTCCCTGCCCAGTTCCAGAGCTGCCTGACGAAAATGGTGTGCTGTGGTCAGCGCCCCTGGGGGACGGGAAAGACTGCTCCAGCTGCCCCCAGCCCCCGCGCAGGCATCGCTGCAGATGGGCTGCGGAACAAGGTGACAGCGTCTCAGCCCGTCTAACTGCTGCCAGATCCTGCCTGCACCACCAGCAGCTTCGGGCTCCGTCTGTCCCACCCAGCCCCGTTCAACACCAGCACAGAGGAGGGCCTGGTGCCGTTGCTGCTCCCCACGCCCAGGCGATGGGTGGCTCTTGGAGGTCAGAGACGTCCCCAGCAGCCCTCATGGTGCTCCCCAGAGAGACGTGACGTTGTCTCCTTGTGGGAGGAGCCACCCCATCACAGGATAAACTGCAAACTTTTATTTCACTCTCCTAAGAAAACATCCATCCATTCCAGCCCCTCACCTACAGGAATCAGGAGTCTTTTAAGAACAGAGAAAATAAGAGTAATTTTTCCATGGTGCAAAACATCCCAAGTTGCTGCTTAGCCCCGGAGTCAGGCTGAACACCGTCCGGCTGTGGTGCCACCTCCAAAGCGGTCTGTAGGACAGAGCCGCACGTTCGCCATCCCTAGATAGACCGGGTCCTGTTTGCATCGCCTGATCTCACTGGGAAGTTCAAGGTCATGCTGTGAAACAGGCAAAAATGCCGTGGGTATGTTTTAAGCACAGACTGCGTTAATAAACATTAATAAACACTGATGAGTTCACAAGTATCTGTTTGACCAGGGGATAGAAGGTTCGACAGAAAACACTTCACCTCCCACTACAGCAGCTAGCCCTTCTCTCGGGGGGCACACGCCACATTTGTCACCATAATGGATAGCAAGGAAAAAACCATAGCTCAAAGACACAAAATCATGTATTTTATTTATATTTAAGGCAATAAGGAAAGGTCTTGAATCCACTGATTTCCTAGCAAGAGTGAAAACCCAGGTTTTAATAGGCCCTGTGGCCCCTGAGGACAAGGCACAGCAGAGCTACCGCTGCCCGATGTTAACAGAGAGCAGAAGATGGCAGAGCATGCAAGAAAAAAGGAAAAAAAAAACCCAAAAAACTCCCTGGTGTTCCACAGCTACACACCTCATCCTGACTCCCAAAACACGATGTTTACCTACACCAGCCGCGATTACGCTTCCAGACTACGATGCAGTCTATGAGATGTAGGAGCCTACGGCTTGGGCTTCTAAGTGCAAGGTTTAGCCAGTTCTGCAGCCAGCAATCCCCCCAAGACTCTGCTTTATCAAACTATCTTTAAAAAATCGTATCGTAGCAGCAGCTCATCTGCCTTCACAGTTAAGTCTTTCAAATTTTGATTCTGAACACTTCAATTGCTTTCAAAACGAGACTGATCCGCAGTCACGTGATTTAAAGGTTCCCTCTCCCCTCCGCAGCTTTGTTTCCACAGGGACGATCACAAAACACTCCTCACCCCTCTCCCCATCTTCCACAGCTTTCGCAGCTGCAGCAAACCCACGAAGGTGTTAGAGGGAAGCGATGCTGAAAGTTGTTCGCCACCTCGCTGAATCGCTAGTGCGCAGTCCACAGCCTGGTGAGAGGCAGGCAGAAAGGCAAACTGGGCTGGCGCAGGTTACGATGAGATTTGGGAGACTGAGGGGTTCTTTTTCTCTGAGATTCTCTGCTCCAAAAGAACAAAAAAAATCCCCAAAACCAAGACCTGTACGATGACAGGTACAAAGGAGCCAAAACACGGCTGCTTAGACAACGAATATTTGCTTTGCTTCTTGCCAGTCTTCACTCAAACTTACCGCAGGGTCCTGCGAGCGCCTCCAGAGAAACACAGCACCCACGGGCAGGGCCGCGGCCCCGGTGCAGGGGGACAGGGTGCCCTCACCCCCATCCCCGTGTGTCCATCTCCCTCCCCCTGCTTGCTTTCCTCCACGTAGAACGGCTCGCGTGCTAGCGGCTCAGAGGGGAATTGGAACAGCTCAGTATCACTGTTTTAATTTAATTAATTGGCCTTTCATTCTCTGGGAAGCTGAAAAGCTGCATTAGATGAGCACCTTCTAATCTTCTCTGCTGTCTTTCCCTGGTCCTTGTTTCATTGTTCCTGTTAATTACAGCTTTTGTGTCCAGGCTTTATGTTATCAGGATGATTTACATTCATGCTAAACTTAAATCTGGAAAAGTACAAGCAGCTGAAAAACAGCAACGTCCAACTGCTGCGTTCTGGCCTCGGTCAGGAGAGCAGACAGGCTATGGGACTACGTGAAAGGCTCTCTACCAACAGAAATAAAAATTCTCCACATTAAGAATAAAAAAAGACAGGGAAATGGTTCACAGCCTGCTCACCATTTGGTCTGACAGATAAAATAGAAATTCAAGAAGCTAAGGAGATTTCACGTGTTGCAAACCAAAGTGATAATTAGGTGTGTGTGAAAACACATGTGCTCGGCTCCGCTCCACCACATTGCTGCAGCCCTGCAAGTTTTAATTACATTTCATTTAATTGAGCAAGTCTATGAAACGTAACAAAACATCACCCAAAGCTAGAAGGGATGACCCTCGGGTACTTGTCAGTTATGGGTCACAAACCACTAAGGACAGAATCACACAATAAACTTGCCATTTAAGTTTTGTCGTTACCCTCTGTTCCTGGCAACAGGCTGCAATATAACACAATGCTTTGCACGGCCGCAGGCCCATGTAAAGTGGGACCGTGCTCCAGCAGCATGGATCAAGAATACGAAGTTCTTCTGCCTGCAGCCAGGACACAGAACTTGTGTATGGAGAAACCCGGGCACCTGCGGCTGGGATGAGCCCAGGTCAGAAAATATTAGACTTCTGCCTGGACAGAACTGCGTAACGCACAAAGTGAGCCCCGTTTCCCACGCGCTGGCACTGCGGTTAACCTGAGGTGCAGAACTCGAACCGCAGCCGCCTTGCTGCCGGCGCTCCTGCTCTAGCTCTATCGCTACCATGACATGACTAAATGGATGAAAGATTTTTATTTTTTCTTGTCTGCCAGTTTGCAGCATCCTCCCCGGAGCAGCTCTATCGGTACCTAGTTGTATACACAGTCTGATCAAGGGAAACACAGTTAATAACAAGTAAAATCACCAAAACCAAAAAACCACCCCAAAACCACAAAAAGAACCACATGGCAGTGCAATAACCTTGGAAACTTTTATTAGTACTGTTAAACCAAATTAACTAACAGTTACAGGTAGGTAACCTTTCCTTCCATGAGCAGAGGGAAAAAGCAACATGGTACAGCCAGCTGTACGAAGGCAGCTAAATCCCAGTGTCTGTTAAAAAGGGACAAGGACAATCCTCACACCTCCTGCGCCTGAAGAGTACTTATCACAAGAGAAGTTAAACATGAAGTTGCTGTGCCCATCAAAACTCTGATTCAAAGCTCAACAATTCTCCAGGGACTTTTTTTTGGATGAGGTCTACCAAAAGTGCAGTTTAATCAAACAACAGCTATCTTTGAAATACTAACCAGATTTTCTCATATTCTTGTCTAACGCTGGCAGGGAATGTATTCCTGCACTTGCAATCTCTGGAGAACCCTGCCTTTTCCTCATTAGCTTTTTGCACAGCAATTAATCCCCTTAATCAGTCAAATCAGTTCAAGGCTAGATCACAAAAGCACTAAGAAAAGAGAAAACAAGAAATTACCTTGTTAAATTTAATGAGCAAGGAAAAACATACACTACATGGGCTGTAACAGTGCTCCACACTCCAGCATGGAAAAATTTTAAGTGCCCAAGCAGTAACCGCAGTCCACAGAACTACAGCCATTGTGTCTGTAACACTGAAAACTTCACGGTGCAACACAGCAAGACATTCCTTGGCTTACAAAAGTATGTGCATGCACAGAAAAATAAATCCCACCACGCAGCCAGCTTCAAAAGGATGTCACCTTCAGACAACAGTTCAGTTCTGCGATATTACTGATACTGCCTTCACGTGCAATGATGGCGTAAAACCAGCGTACAAACTTATTCCAGAGCAGAGCATGAGATGTTCTTCTGTACTCGCTGCTGCAGCTAAAGGAAGACCACGCTTCACAACTGTTTCATGGCCCAAAAGGGTTGTGATTCACCATACAGGCAGCAGTAAGCAGGGGATACATTAGAACTTATTCACTATCCATTTTCTCAGTTAGAGGAGAGCTCTGATCCAAAACAATTATCCTGTAGGGAAAAAAAAATAGGGAAAAAAAAAAGTTACACAGTTGTTTTTATCTTCTGTCAAACTGCAAGTTGAAGGGAATGGGATTTCACATTGCCCCTTTCACCTCCTTGGCATGGAAAACAAAAATGTACCTCATGCAGCCAGAGAATACACAGATTTCTACCAAAAGCCCAATTCAATTCACAGAAAGGCTCACCTGAACGCAGAACGTGAAGACAGCTGCTCCTGTACGCGGGATTTCTGATCTTCAGGATACGTGTCTAAAAACATGTAAATTCAGCTCAGAACCAAGAAGAACACACGCAGCAACACAACACTTCAAAGCGAAAGCTCTCGCTCTGTTGGCACGCAGCAGCACGCTGAATCGAGCGCCACAGATCTCGGTTAGATCCATTAAATTGCACTTGTAATCAGAAATCGGCCTCAGCTCTGTGGCTATTGGGTGCATGACAGAGGACCCTCTCGGTCATCAGAGATCACCGTTTTCAAAACCTGAAGCCAAATCCCTACCAGCTCAGTTCTTCTAGAAGTCTGACAGAAAATAGGGTCATCTACGCTCACGCTGTGCAAATAACAAGCATAACGAGGTTACCTCCAGATCTCTAGCTTTAAAAATGACCAGCAACATTTCCAAAGGTAACTAGTGATTTGGGACATCTCAAACTTTGGGTGCCTAACTGGAAAGCAAAGCACATGTGGTAGAGCTGACTGCTGTTCAAGCACTACATGCCTGCAACACTGAAGATCAGCCTCCTTTAGGTCACCTTGTGCTACACACTGAAAACCCAAACGTTCTCTCTAAAATCGGAAGGCTACTGCCTTTTTCTTTCCAGACAAAACACCAGTTCTTTCATAATTGTTGCATAGCACTAAATACACATTAACTTAATGCCAGTATGTCAGTCCCCTTCTTGTAACAAGAATCATCTTTAATAGAGAAATGGCAACCTTCTACTTTAGCTGTAGAATACCAGTCAGCTTTGACAGTTCCTAATGGAGATTTGGACTTACAGAGCAGAGGAAACACTTTTGTCTTGTGTCTTCTTCCTTACTTCTAGTTTCTACTAAAGGAAAGCCAGGGGAGATGAGACCAGAACAGATGTTTAAGGGATTTGATGGCACAAGCACACACACCACCAGTACATACCAAACCACACTGATAGTAACCCTGATGGTGTGAAGCATTCGGGTGCCTCAGCAGAGAGGCTGAGCACGGAACAGGACACAGACACAGCAGTATCAGCTGTCTTTCAGTGCCTCCTAGTCAGGAGAGGAAACCCCACTCTCACTACGAGACACACACTTTGCAGCTCCAGCAATGGTCCACAGTGCTGTCAGTCTCAACTGCCCCAAAGAACTGGAAAACGTTTCAAGTGTCTCCGGAGAGTTTAAGTCTAGAGCAGCTTCCTCTCCCTTAAAAGCACAGGCTAGAAACAGTGCTCAGATGGGGGGAAATCAAAAGCAAAGAAACTAGCTTGTGCAAGCCCGACAATATAATAAATGCTAACAATATAATAAACGCGATACTGCCAGCATCTGGTAGCTTTACAGACAAAGAGGACCTTCTGAACTCCCGGCGCAGCCTTCTGGGGCTCTGCCTCTGGCCACAGCTCCGCTTTCCTCTACTCCCTTCTTCTTTCCAGCATCTTCTGGATCTTGCAGGCTTGCAGCCCTTGAATGGGAGAGTTTTGTGTATTATCCCAATTTTTTGTATTTTCTTTTAGACAGGATGAATACAGAGCACTAAAAACAGAAGCCTCTCAAGATGCTAGATGCCTTTCTATTTTTTCCCTGACCTGTAATGGGCATCTGCCCCCCAAAATCCCCAAACAAACTGCCTCTCCCCTCCAAGACATATCTTGTGCTCCTTCAGCAAGCCATATCTTAGGAAAGACTTATTACTACTCACTGACATTTACTGTGGAGTTGTTCAGAGTTACTAGGCTCTATTCTTTAATTCCAAGAGGAAAAAAGTTATTTGGGCTATGAATCTTTTCCTTAAAGTGATGTATGTACGATTTCTGCCATGTTCTTCATTTCCTCCTATATTGCCATGGCAGTATAACCACCTTCCCAAACTCCTCTTTAAAGCCTTTTCTAAAGAGCCTTCACGATTCTGCTCTCTTAACGTACATTCTTCTCTTATCTCAAAAAATCCGCCATTCTGTCAAATGATCTCCGATTTCTGTGAAGACTACGCACTGCCTACCAAGCCTATTGAAGTATTTGCTTTCCACCTACAGGAAATTATATTAACAAAACACTCTTCTCCCTCTCAATTTAGTATGGAGTTCAGATGGATGTCTCCAGGCAAGTTTCCTGACACACTACTCTCTAAGGAGTGACAGCCCATTTTCTGAAAAGCCCTGCAGAGGTCTATAGACAGAACATAAACAAAATAAACTTATGAACAACGTACCAATTATCAACTAACCCAGGAGTGTGTCCCTGAGGTTGTTCTTGGATCTCCTCATCTCCAGGAATTGCATGGAGCATTCTTTCCAAAATATCATCAAGAGTAGAGTGAGCTCTGTTGAAGAAATGATTTTAAATAGACATTGGCAAGTTTAACACTACACATTTTAAAAGAAAACAGTCATAATTATCAGGCTTCTTGAAAAAGCTGGCTTACTGTAAGCACTGAATCTTGTTAAAATATACTGGAACCATTATTCTAAATCTTTGTAACTCAAAGCCAAGCATGCCTTATCGTCCTTTTTTCATACCTTTCTGTTTCCTCTGCTAGATTAAATGACTTCTTAGTCCATAAACTATGATTTCTCTTCTCATTTCCCTCAGATTCTTCTTTTGCCTCTCTATCTTCCATTTTAGTTTGATCAGGAACTATTCACATAAACAGAAAGATTTTAATACCAAAGGTATGAATAAAGAAATTAAAATGTGTTTTTATTTACTGCACTTGGGAAACTTCCAGTTGCCCACTTCTCAATTACTCTTTCCTCAGTCATCTGATTTTCTACCAGTTACGCAAATTCACATTATCTACAGTCCAAGGCGGCCAGCAGCAAGACCTAGATAAATATTTTACTGTAACACATTTTTAGATTCACAGGACCGAACATTTTGCTTCATACTAAAATGAAAAATGCATGTGGAAATTAATCTTTAATCTTTCCCCTTACAATCCTAGATATGGGAGAAAAATCAAAAGAAAACCTGTGGATGTTAGCTTTGTTACCCTACTTAGCAAAATCCAGCGATATCCCCCTCCCAAGACTTATCTCCGTAAGTTCTGTTCCCTACAGCATGTGAATATATTCAGCCACCTTCTGCTAAGCTATGATAAGCAGGAAGCAGTAGGCTGTCACAAAAAATGGAGTCTGAAATAGCTGTACTTTATGCAAATACAACAAAACCCCAGTGATTGAACAGCAAGCCATACAGGCTGCTGCGTTCCTTACCACCTAAAAACAAGATACTCCTATGAATAAAGTCACGGTAGCTTCCATCCTTTGGGAAAAGATCTAACAAAGCTGTAGGATAACACTAACAAGTGCCAGTGCTATTCTCAAGTGACTATGCTATTTAGCTTTTTTACAGACTAACTCATGTTCTGCCTTTTTTCTTTCTTTTTTTTTGTCCTTTTTTTTTTTTTTTTAAATAAACTGCTCTTCACTTTCTGACTCACTGGAAACAAATGCAGAGCCCACAAAGATTTAGATTTTCTGCTCCTCTGACATTACTTGCTGTACATCTAAAAACTCTTCCCTCTCATTACTATTTGCAGTTTCAGAAGCACAGAGATTCACTACTGCTATCTTTGGTATCTTTGTAACAGAACAGGAAATACAACATCGATTACCCCAGCGGATGCTATTTCCTTACCCTATGAGATCAGAGGCATTATTTCATTAAGGTGAGTAAGAAACATAAGCAGTTAATGTGCACTGGCCACTTTCTCAACTGAAGCACCCTCTCAGAACAGAAGCTTCAGCTCTCTTTTACATCAGCTGCCCACCACCTGTACTTCTGTGGGTTATGTCACTTGTGTTTGAACGCAGCACACGTTACAGTGGCATAATAAAAGCACGAGATTAATTCTGATAGCTCAGCCATACAAGCTTTCCACATCAGTTCCCCGCAGAGTTTACAGAATGAACACACAGAGAAAGAGAGCAAACACTGGTGGAGGGCATGCTATTTGCAACAGCACTGCATATAACCTAACCAAGAAAGGGAGAATCCTCTCAAATTTCTGCT